CTCGCGTCGCTTGCATCGCCTCTCACCGTACCGGGCCGTTTGTTCTTTGCCCACCGCAGGTCACCGGCTCCCCCTCTCCCGTGCGCGGGGCTGCAGAGGGAGCTGCAAGCACCTCTCGCCTGGAGAGTGCGATGCCGTTTGCGTACCCGATCGTTGTCGGCGGCCAAAGAATGGCCGTTGGCCTTGTCGCGCCCTGAAGCTGCTCGGAGCCTGCCCGGGCCCTCGCTTGTAGGCGGCCTCGAGACGCTCGTGCAGATGTGCATGAAGGGCGGCTCGTCGATGCTCGCACTGACCGCGGTCGGGGACTCTCAGCTCTGCTTCGCCTTTTTCTGGGTCGTGCTGCTTGCGTGGGCGCTCCTCTCGCTCGCCGCCATCTACTGGCTCCGCAAGGGCTTGGTCCACTTGCCCGCCTCGCGCTTGCTGCCCATCGAGTACGGCACCGTCACCACCACCTCCGTCCTCGGCGGACTCGTCGTCTATCAGGCGCACAAGGGCGTGCCCCTGAACTCCTTCCTTCCTCCCTCCCTTCCTTCCCTCAATGCTGTGACGTGCCCTGAACTCCTTCCCTCCTCCCTGTACTCCTTCCTTCACTCCTGTGACCAGGAGCACAAGTACGTGCCCGTCTCGCCGAACCTCTCCGTGATGGGCTTCGGCATCGGCCTCATCTGCGTCGGCTGCGCGCTGGTGGGCCGGCGCAAGACGCTCAAGCGCAAGTATATGCCGCACCAGCTCGGTCGGCAGGCGGTGCGGCAGGGCGCGCAGGCGTGCGACAAGGCGGCGCACCGCGACGCCTTTTCCCTAGACCGCCCCTGGACCTTTCCTGGAACCTTCCTGCAGGCATGCGACAAGGCGGCGCACGAGGTCCGGCGCGCAGTCTCGTCCCTCGAGCAGCACACGCCTCGCCTGATCAAGCGCGACGCGCGGCCGTACCACCACAGAGCCCACCGCCACCACGAGGTCTTCCCCTCGGTCGACGAGGCGGGAGAGGAGGCGTCGCGCAGCGCTGAGCTCGCCGCCGCAGCCGCCGCCGCGTTGGCCGCTGCGCCGAGCGGAGCCCCCGCGCGGAGAGCCGTGCTGAGGGAGGTGGCGCCGCCGCTCGCGCCACTGGACAGCGTCGTTGTCGGGTCGGGCGAGAGGGGAGGAGGCAAGACGGTGAAGCTGCTTCCGGACGCGCCCCTGTGATCCAGGAGGGGTGTCGGGCCGACTGAGTCTCTCCACGGCGCAGCGGACCGACGTGGTGCCCTTTCGTCTCAGCTGTTTTCTTATCTCGCGTGCGTGCACTGTGTATTGTGTCTTGTTCTTAGATTACTCTTATCTCACATTTTGCACTAACCGACACTACGCGCAAAAGACATACCGCGACACGGCGGCGCGCGGCAGAGGACCACACAGCACGCACACCGCTGTGCACGCACGATTTCTCATGGACATGGTACGGCTTTTCCTTTATTTACCGTACAAGGGTTTACGACACCGTGGTCCGTGCGCTCTGGTTACTGCCTTATAGGGTACTGCGGGCTGGCTACGCTCCCAATTCTTGTGAAAACTGGTCTTGCAGATAGTACATCGACGGCTCGAGGACGACCCAGGACGTAGAGCAGTCGGGCACGCGGAAGATATCCTCGTGTCGATGATGCAGTCCTCGCCGTCCGGGCTCACGCAGATGGCAGCCATCTGCGGTCGAGGGGGGAGGGCGGCGTGGGCGTGGAGCCTTGGATTGGCGACGACCGCCCCAACAAGCGTGCCTTCGTGTTCGGCGGCATCAGGTAGCACTCCCCTGGCTCGTAAACCTTGTCCTCGTGGCCCTCGATCTGGTCTAGCACCCGCCCCTGGCGCACGCAGGAGAACTGCGGGTCGGGATGCATGTGCACTGGCGTGCGTTCTCCAGCCTTGCGCTGCGCGTCTGCAGGAAGGAGAAACTCAGACGGGAGAGTGAAAACTCCTCCCTGCGGCATGTGCGCAGAACGGCTTGCGCACTGTGCGGCATCGTGTTGAGGGCTCGGGAGGGCAACGACGGCAGCGTTGCCGAGCTTGTACAGGGGCCTCAATCCTGTCCCCGATGGGGTGCGCCTCTCGCCGCGCGCGTAGCAGTCAGCGCGCGGGTAGCCTCAGAGATGCGCCAGCCAGGCAGTGGATTTGGCCCTGGCACCAGCCTTGGCAGTTGATTTGGCCTTGGCACCAGCCATGTCGGGCGGGCACGCGATATGCACAGGCGCCAAGGGGCGCAGAACCGACCCAACCCGTCGGAGGTGGGGGGAAGGGAGTCCCGCCGGGTTCCCCTGCACGAGCGCGAGAGTAACCCCAGGAGGGCCGAGATGAGCGGTGCGCGCAGGGGTCGGCGTGGAGGGCGAGGAACGCGCCGCGCGGGGCGCCGCCTCACCGGCCTTCGCCAACGCCTCAAAAGTGGCGCAGAGTGAGGCGGCGCCCTGAGCGAGTGCGTGAGCCCCGTGGCTCCAACCGGGCCCTTCCTTTTTTGAGCAGGTGTGCCGCCGCGCAAGCGACGCTCCGAGATCGCCCGAGATAGCGCGGCGCGGCCCCGAGATCGCCCGAGATTGCGCGAGATCGACCGAGATTGCGCGGCGCGGCCCGAGGCGAGGTGGATGGGTTGGGAGCGAGGGGGCGCAAGTGTTCAGTGCGGTAGATGGTGAGCTCGGGGCGCGTGAGCCGGACTTGGGGGCCGGACGCGTGGCTTTCATTTCTCTCTGCGTTCTCGCACATGGAGTGCGAGGGACTCGACTTTCAATCCCAAACTGTCATTCCCCTTTCTCCCAGCCGGGGTTTTAGGTATGTTGTTGGCAAAGCTGGTGGGGCGCGCGGGGGGGCGGCGGGTGTGCGGGATGTCTGTGGGCCCGAGAGCGATATGCCATGTCCGCCTTGCGTTTGTTTTCATCGAGGGCTAAGCTCGGAAAAAGAAAAGGTCTTGGCGAACGCTGCGCAGCCGCCGCATTTGCATGGTGTGGGTAACGTGTCGGCACCGAGGCCAACGATCGCACGATGCTGACGATCGCCGTCTCGTGCCTGGGTCTTCCGGCTCCAGTGCTCGCCGAGCCGGAGCTGGCGGACAGCCGCAGCGTTCGTGATGGTGCTACCGGTTTCATCGACGAGGTCCTCGGCTTGGCCGACGACGCCCCTCTCTGCGCCTCGCCGTCTCCGCCGCCGCTGTCCCCATCGCCGTCGTCAACTGTCACTTTGATTCCAGACACTCTCGAGTCCACCTCGCTCGAGGTATGCTCCTCGCCTGGCGGTCTGACCGTTTTCAGCGAGGCGACTCTTTACCTGAGCTCATCCACTTCGGTTGGCTTTGAGATCGACGGTACGGTCAGCGCAAATGGTGCCTCGGCCCTCACGATGAGTGCCGGCTCCGAGGAGGAGCCGTGGGTGCCGCTGCCAAACCTGCTCCCCGACTTCACGATGCCGGCGCTGACAGGGGAGCTCAAGCTCGACGGCGACGGCGGCGTGTCCTTCGAGCTCACTGCGGAGCCGTCCGGCTCCTTCACGATGGCCGACGGCATGCTCGAGTTCAAGGACTGGGGCGGCAGCCTCGCGGTGACGGCGCCCAGCACGACCGTCGACGTGGCGGCCGCCGGGAAAATGCGGATCGGCGGCGACGAAGGCTTCGACGCCAGCGTGAGCGCCGCCTTCCGCTTCGAGGACGGCGGCGCGACAGCGACGGTGGGGATCGAGCACGGCGGCGGCTGGTCGCCGATCCCGTCAGGCCCGCTACGCGAGGCCTTCGAGACGCCCACCTTCAGCGGTACCCTCGTCGTCGGCGGAGAGGCGCACTTCTCGCTGGAGGCGAGCGCCGAGTGGGCTGACCCGCTGGTGCTGCTACCTGACGTCATCGAGGTGCAGGCCATCGGCGACTCGCAGGCCGGCCCTTCTCTGGACGTCGCTGTTAGTGCCAGTGCGCGCCAGTCCCGTGCCCATTGTTGTGCGAGGGAGTTTTGTTGTAAAATTCTCTTTACAGGGCACACGGGACTTCCCTCTCTTGGCCTACTGTTTTGAGATCTTGCTTTCAGGGCACGGGGACGCGCGCGGGCGCGCACTGGCACGAATACATGTGTACCTTAAGGTACATTACATCAAATGTTAATACACAAAGAAATAATACCGTTTGTATAGTCCACAGCTAGGTCCACAGGAGTTCCCACAACGTCAACGAGAATAATGCACAATCTAGCATCCCTGTCGCCATCGTCCGCACTTCCGTACCCCTGTTCATGTTTGAGACACGAGGGCGCAACTCCGAAGGGCGACGGGGGGCGCGAACAAAAGGCGGCTATGGATGGGGGAAAGGCAGCGCCCCCCCCCGGCCGGGAAAGTTCCATGCAGCTCACCATCCTGCGGTGGGGCCGGCGGCCGATGACAACCCCAACCGAGCAAAACGGGAGAGTGGAGGCGAGATGCTCAGCGTCCCCACCTGGAAGCCTGCTCTCGAGGAGGTGCTTGCGGCTTCCGCACTCCTTGCGTCCGAGGAGCGCATGTTTTACGAGTACTGACAGCACTCATCGACATCCATATCGGTGCACATAGAGCTTGCGCACCAAAGATCATCCGCGTTGGGCTTGAGCTCCAAACCTGTTGGGCAGGAGTAACTCGCGCAGGTGCCTTCAAACGCACAGAATGTGTTGTAGTCGAAGAGCTGCGCGGCGTTCTCTCTGAGGCGTGACCCAGACGGGCATGCCAGGGTGGGTGGCGGGCCGTCGAACACGCAGCATGTGTTGTAGTCTGTATCGATGCACACCACATCGTCGCAGAAGAGCTGCGCGGCGTTCTCTCTGAGGCGATACCCAGACGGGCATGCCATCGTGTTGCACAGCGCGGCGGACACGCAGCATGTGTTGTAGTTTGTATTGATGCACGCCAAATCGTCGCAGAAGAGCTGCGCGGCGTTCTCTCTGAGGCGATACCCATACGGGCATACAAACGTGTTGCACGTCCCTTGTGTGACGCAACTGCATCCGTTCACGAGTGCGCGGCCACGTTGGAGAGCGTCCGGGTCTTTGATGTTGTCGTGTGCGGTGTCGATCTTGGTTGAATTTTTCGATAGGATTTTGCGGACGTCGGAGCTGGTTCCGGCACTCTGGACGGGCGCCCCGATGGTGGCGGCGACGGCAAAGGCGACCAGCGAGACGCGAAGCATGCTGCGGCGGGAGTGAGCGAGGGGCGACGGTTGGCGAGTGGGACGGGGGAAGATGTAGAGGCGCGCAGGAGCGGAACGCTGGCAGGGGCCCGGCGGCACACATGGATGGAAGTCGTGGCCTTGCTCTCGGTCGGATTGCGCCTTGCTCCCGGTCGGAATTGACCCGGATGTCACGCCCCGCCTAAGGTGGTGTGGATGTGGGTGGCATGCACATGCACATGCACATGTGCATGTCATGCACGTGTGCATGCTGGTTTTTTTTATTTTTCTTATGTCTGAGAGAGAGAGAGAGAGAGAGAGAGAGAGAGAGAGAGAGAGAGAGAGAGAGTTAGCAATACCTTAAAGAGAGGTTACAGGAAAGAAAGAAAGAAAACAGACAACCCAAGGGAGGGATGGGAGGACGGCACGCCGCCACACAGGGATTTTAGGGGAGAAGTGTGGTGCTAGCCGTCGCCCACCCTCGCTCGGGCGTCTACCACTTCCTATCTCTCTTCGCAGTTTCTCACCAATTCTAGAAGAGAGAGTCTCTCTCTCCCCAATTCTCGCAGCGACCTTCATGCCACCTCGCGTTCTTCCCACTCTCGTCGTTCTCTCTCCTGCTCGCTGCTGTCTCTTCCCCTGACTCATCGCTCTCCTGAGAGGTTACAGGTGGCAGACACCGGCATTGTTAATTCTTTTCTGGCCGTCCTCGCGGGAGTCGCTTAGGCGGCTCCCGTGGTGTACCTGTGTTAGTGCCAGTGCGCGCCAGTCCCGTGCCCAGTGTTGTGCGAGAAAGTTTTTGCAAGATTCTTTTCTGCTCCAGTGGTGTACCTGTGTTAGTGCCAGTGCGCGCCAGTCCCGTGCCCAGTGTTGTGCGAGGGAGTTTTGTTGTAAAATTCTGTCCTGTAAAATTCTCGCCTACGGGACATGTCCAGGAGACGTCAGGGGCATGTCGCGGAAGCGGCTGCCGCCACTGCAGCGGGCGGGAGCGCTGCGCCGCCATCCACTCCGCCTGCGGGTTGCAAGAGGGGCGGGGCGGGGCGGGGCTTGGCACCGGACCCGGAACCGGAGGGTGATGGAGGCTAGTCCAAGCCGTGGCCCCCCCGCCCGCCCGCCCGCCCTTGCGCTGCCCTCCCGCCCGCCCTTGCGCTGCCCTCCCGCCCGCCCTTGCGCTGCCCTCCCGCCCGCCCTTGCGCTGCCCTCCCGCCCGCCCGCCCGCTGCCCTCCCGCCCGCCCGCCCGCTGCCCTCCCGCCCGCCCGTCTCCCTTGCGCGCCTCCTCGGCGGTGAAGAGGGCGCGGAGGTAGGGGGAAATACTGAAAAATGGGACCCCCCGGGCGGACCTTGCTTTCATACCGAGCGTGAAGAGCTGAGTCTCAGCTTTCAGACCCTGCAAAAATCATTGAAAAATATTAAGATGGTCCAGAATGGTGACCGAAAGACTCCGGCGCCGCAGCGCTCGCGCTTGCTTTCCTCGCAAATGCGACAAGTGAGGCCCTGGCAGGGAAAAGAATGATGGCGGCGAAAGAAAAACCTCGCTTGAAGACCGCAAATGCTGCCGCTCCTGGTGAGCGCCAGCCCGCGCCGCGTGCAGGGCGTGTCCGGGGCGCCCTCCCCCCGAGTTCCCCCGCAAAATCCGGCCCGCGGTCGCGCGCGCGCTCCCGTCCCGCTGCTTTGGAGGATCTGCAGCCCCGGGCGCGCCCGCACGGCGATTGCCGCCTCCACTCCAACCTCATCCACTCTCACTCTGACATTCTCTCCAGAGTCCTCGCGTCGAGCCCGTGGCGCCGGAGCGCGAGCCCCAAGCTCGGGACACAGCGGGACATTGACGATCTGCGATGCCTGTGCGTGCAGGTGATCACGGGCCCGGCGGTGGCACCCTTCCAGGCGCGCTGCGCCCGCGCGTTTGCGACGCCCGTGTGTGCCCCTGCGCGCGCCCCGCTCGCCGCGCCGCCGCCGGGCCCGTGGGGGTCTCAGGTTTGCGCGTGTGTGCCGCAGATGTCACGACCGAGCAGCTGCAGCAGATCCTCCAGAACGTGCAGGCCGAGCTTGAGCGGCGCGCGGCGCTGCAGCGCGGGGCGCCCGAATCGAAGCGGTGCGTGCCCGCCCTCGCCGTGGCCGCGCTCGCCCCGCCTTGGCGAGCTCTTGCCGCTCACCCGCGCCGCAGGAACTCGATCTTGTGCGCCTCGGGCAAGGCGTTGCCCAGCGAGGCGGAGGTGCACGCATGGGCGCTGCTCGTGCTGCTACATGGCCGCGGCGCGGACGGCTCGTGGGTCGCCGTCCCGACGCTCGTCGACCAGTGGATGAACGTCGTGCTGCTGCAGTCGAGTCGCTACAAGCAGGCGCCCGCCCTGCTCTCCCACCGCCCCCCGAGCCGCCGCCGCGGCTGCTACACCTCGGCTATATCTCGGCTATATCTCGGCTATATCTCGGCTCTATCTCGGCCTTGCTGCCTGAGCCGTGTGTGCGTGTTGTGCGCAGTTGCGCGAGCGATGACAGCCTCCGACCGACGATCCGGAGTGGCGTAACTTGGCTCTCGCCAAGGGCCTCGTCCCGTCCTTGCTCAGTCAAGCCGCCGCTCGGGCGGCGGAGCCGCTCGCCCACATCACGCGGGGCGCCGAAGAAGCGCGGGGCGCCGAAGAAGCGCGGGGCAACCGCAGCAGGCGTGGCGGCTGATGAGGCGGCGCCACAGGCGCGCGAGGCGCGCCCACGGCGCAATGCACGTTGACTCTGCGGCACATGCGGTGGACAGCGAACACATAGGGTGATGTGGCACGGCGGTAGATGGCCGAGGATGCAGACGGACCGTGGTATGTGTGTTGTGTATATGCTCATATCCGCTTGACCTTGAGCAGCAGGCACACACACGCCAAGCGCGTGAGTTGTCGCTCGGGTTGCCTTAACTAGATAACATTCACCCATATTCATTAATAGCGGCTAGTTTGTCACATCACGTGGATCGATGACCCGGAATATGCCGCAAGACACGGCGCTTTCAATAAGCTACTCATTATCTTGGACGCATCCCTCGACGCGAAGAGCCATGCAGTCACCCGAATTGCTTGCACCTCTCCTGCAAGTAGAACGAAACATTCTTGGAGCTTCCCCAGCCGCTTGTGGCCGCATCTCATCCGTGGCGACGCGCTGTGCCACCGAGCCGTACTTGGCCGCGCCGCCGCGTCGAGGCACGGGTCCCCAACCAAGCAGCGACGCCGAAGCGCGTCGACCGATAGAGCGCCACGCCCAGCAGTATGGGCGTCGACCGCTCTCTCGAGCGGCCGCGTGGCAGTGCGTGGCGCGGGCGTCACAGGCGGCAAGCGTGGAGCCGCTGGAAGAGCCGGTGCGAGCCGTGGACGGCAGCCGCTCCCCACGTCGCCGAGAGAGGCTGCGGGGGAGAGGGTTCAGGAGGCCACAGGAGGCGCCGGGAGGCTCGGGAGGCGCTAAAAAGTGGCCCGGGCGCCTCGTGCCACCCGTCTGGTGGGGCCAGGTGGGCTCAGGAATTAATCCAGGATTTTAAGGTGATCCACTACACCTGACCGAGAATTGGATGGCGAGATCGCGGCGAGATCGACCAGTCGGCCCAGGTCGGCGCCATGCACTGGCGGGCTGCACAGCGCGCTAGATTACGCGGAGGACGTGCGCTTACCACCGGGTGGGATTACCAGGCTCGCCTGGGCTCGCTGAGGGTCGATCGCGGCGCGACCCGTTTTCGGCTGTTTTCCTCGCGAATCTGGGGTGCGCGCCGGGAGCTGCAGCGCCAGCGTTTCGCGGACCTGTGCAGCCTCCGGGCACTGGGAACTTCTCCCAGGCTCGGGCAATGCGGACATGTGCCAGCGGGGGCGCGGAGGTGGTTTACATGCGGATGCGGCACGATCTTCGAGCCGAACCGACGATACAGGAGGCTCCAGAGGCGCCGTAATCGACAGTTGGCCGTCACCCAACTCCTCGCCCGCCGTGACTGTGGGTGTCTCCTGATTGCCCACGCTCGTGGCGGAGCTCGGGGTACCACTTTGGGCCACGGGACAAGCCCTGGGGAGTCACTGTAGCTCGCGCGGGGCTGAGAAGCCCCCATTCCCGCGAAAAATCGAGATTTGGCGAGATATAGGGGGCGGTTCTCATTATTTTCGGCGGCCCCAAAGCTACCCAATCACTCGCCCACCTCCCCCGAGCAGTCTAGTCCAAAAAAAACCGCGCCCCGATCAAGTTACGTTTTCAGTGTTTGCCCCTAGCGGAGGATGTCGTCGGGCAGCGTGGGGCCTACACACAGCCACCCCGCGTAGTCTGAAGAGGCGCGGAGGCGGAGACGGGTGGCGGCGAGGCGAGGGGCGAGCGCCGGTGAGCTTCGCGTTGAGCTCCCAGCTGAAGGCTGCGAGGTAGCGGCAGGAGGCCGCCCCGCCCCCTCGGCCGCCCCCTCCATCTCCTCCTCCTTGCTCGCCACCCTGCGGTCGAACAGGACTCAGGAGCGCCGTGGCTACTCCCTGTGCCACCTGCCGCAGCGCCGCGAGGCAGGGAATGGGAGGGCGGCGGAGGGCGTGGCAGGCAGGAGGCGGAAGAGGCGAGGCTGGCTGCGGCAGGGCGGGGACCGAGAGGCAGGGAGCGGGAGGGCGAGAGGCGGCGCAGGCAGGAGGCGGAAGAGGCGAGGCTGGCTGCGGCAGGGCGAGCCAAGAGGCAGGGAGCGGGAGGGCGAGAGGCGGCGCCACCATTTTTCCTCGCTTTGAAAAAAGAAATAACCGGTGCAAAATCCAGGTTAATCTTATACGACCAGCGGGCTCTGGCTCGGGAGGCGTGTCTCGGCGGGGAGGGGCGTCCTCGCTCTGTGCCGGCGGCGGCGCGCCTCGCGAGTCAGGTAGATTGCGCGGCCCCACAGCGTGCGCGCCTGACCGCGGTGCGAGAGAGGCGCGTGAGGCTTGGGTGCGATTGGTGTGTGCGAGGGCTTGGCGAGGGGGGGGGGAGGGTGGCGAAGGCGGTGGGCGCTGGTGGCGTTGCGGCGCGCAGCGCGGTGGTCGGGCAGGAATCAACGCGCACGCCTCCGCGAGGCGCTGGTACGTGTTGTTTGTGCGGAAGACTAGCAGTAGCCCGAGAGCTTGCCCACGACATGGGCACTGGCGAGGTGCGGGGCAGCAGCGCCGCCGGCAGCGAGGCGACGGCATAGGCCCAGAGGGCAGCGAGGAGGCTCAGCTTCCACAGCGCGCGCAGCACCGTCGAGTAGCGCCACGTGACGACCGCGCGCACCCACCTCTCGAGCGGCTCTGTCCCAGAGTACTCGCGCCAGTCGGCGTGCGAGAAGAGTCGGGTGTAGGACGGCTCTCCAGAGATGGACCCGGATACCTTGTAGGTCGGATTGAGGCCAGCATTTTCCCAGAGCTTGAACTGCACCTCCGCCGAGTCATCCGCAGGACGGATGGAGCGCACGACCTCGAGCTGCTCCGCCAGCAGCGCAATCGCGCCAAGCGACGGCGGCGCCGTCCTGCGGGCCGGATGAACGCGCGAGAGGCGCGGCTGCGCGGTGAAGCTGAGGCTTTGCGTCGTTGAAGCTGCCAGCAGGACGCCAAGGGCGCAGCAGCGGCGCATCGGTGGTGGCCGCACGGAGGTTATTAGCACCAAGTCGGGCACCAGAAAAGAATTCAGCCGCGTTCCAACTCACTCACTAAAGGTACACTACGGAGAAAAATAATTCAACAAACTCACCGCGGCTTGGTCCTCGCCGTGAGGAAGGTGGCGGCGAGAAGTAGGTATGCCGGTGGGCCGATCGTCATTCCCCCCTCATCCAGAGGGAGCAGCCGCCGCGCGCTGCGAAACGGCCGGGTAACGTCGGCAGCGACGAGGCTGTTGCGCGCGAGCAGGGCCTCCTCGCCCCCCCGCGGCATGCCGGTGAGGAGTGGCTCGCCTGAGAGGGACGGGACGCGGCGGCGTGAGGGGGAGGAGGGTGGGGGTCGAGGGTGGGGGCGGGCGCACGAGCGAGGGGGCGGAGCGAGGGGGCGGTGCGGGTGGCAGCGGTGCGGGTGATGCCGCGGGTCGTGCAGGTGATCCTGGGTGATCTCGGGTGATCTCGGCGCGCCGTAGACGCGCGCAAGGAGCAGGCCCGAGAAGGCGACCATCCAGTCGGCAAAGCAGTCGAAGCCGAGGACGGCGTCGCTGCACAAGGTTGCGATCCGCCGCAGCGTCGCGTCGACGGCCTCGGCAGGCAGATAGTAGAAGACGCCTACTCTCGGAAATCTCGGCTAATCTCGGAGTCTCTCGCGTAGTCTGCGCGGGCAGGTGGTAGAGGACAGCCCTCCCAGATGAAGACGGTCCGCCGGCGCGGGTCGAACCCCGCGTCACACAAGCATTGGAACCAGTCCGAGTGGGCAAAGTCGACCGGCACAAACGTGACGTGGGAGCAGTCGACGCCGGCGCGGCTCAGGCTCTCTCGCTTGAGCGCCTGCGTGGTCGGCGCATCGACCTGGCGAGCGGCGGGGAGGGTGGGAGGAGGGAGGGGGGTGGTGGGAGGCGGGCGAGAAGAGGCGGGTGCGCGGCGGTGGCGAGGCGGGCGCGACGACGGCGGCGGCTCGCGCGCGGGGGTGACGCCTCGAAGCAGCGCGCGGTCTTGCCGATGTCGAGCCGGTAGCAGCGCGTGTCGAAGCCGGCGCCTGTGGGAAGATGCAGCAAAATCCCTGTGCAGTTCCTAGGAGCCGGCAGGAACGCCGCAGGCTCCGCCGCCGATCCTGCCCGTGACGAAGTACTCCCACCTCTCGATCGCGCCCCTCGCCCGGAGAAAGGCGGCAGGCAGGTCCTCGTAGAAGAGGTGAGTGAAAGCGCCGGCGAGGTGGTCGGGGCCAAACCCCAGCTCCGCGGCCCGAAAGCGGAGGAGGGCAACCGCCTTCGCTGTGCCAGAGGCCGAGCGCTGGACACGGTCGGTGGCGCTGCTGCTGAAGAGGCCCCGGATGGCGAAGGGCCAGCCGAGCGGTAACGTGGCTAGGTTTAGTGCGATCCAAATGGGCGAAGTGCAGAGAGGCAAAACTGTGCGGCAGCGGAAGCACTGTGCGAGTCCAAGCGACTCGGAAGCGTAGCGCATGCTCAAGCAGACGGTCGAGGAGATGCTCGGCGGAGTGAATCGTTTGGGCTGAGCGCCGGCAAGGGTCATCGATTGGTCCGACGGTGGTGCGTCCTCGTTCGGATGGCTGCGGAATTGTGTGAAAAAAGAAATGTCGCGAGGTCGTATCCGAACTGGTCACTCACTCACCCGCGGACCTTCTCGAGCTCCGCGTCGCGCGCCGCCACTGTCCCCTTCAGCTCCGCCACCTGGTCGAGCGCGTCGCCGAGCAGCCCCTTGGCCACGCCAAAGTCGCGCAGCTGCTCCACGCCGCCGCTCGCCCGCACCTCGGCGGCGTGGTCGGCGACGTAGCGGCGGCACTGCGCGAGGAGCCGCCCGTCGCCCAGCGTGTGCGCCGCCTCGAGCAGCGGCACGGCGGTCGCCGGCGCGACGCTCTCCTGCAGCGCCTGCGCGCAGAGCAGCTCGAGGCGCGGCACCTGGTACATCTGCGCCAGCTCCCGCAGGTCGAGCGCGCGCTGCGCCCTGCCGCCCTCCTCCTCGCCGAGGTCGAACTTGTCGGAGAGGAGGTAGTCGACGAGGGCGGTGAAGCTGGCGAGGTCGGTGTGCGACACCGTGACCTCGGCGGCGTCGCGCTCCTTCATGCCGATGCCAAACATGGTCCGAAAGACCGGGGACCGGGCGCAGAGCATGTTCTTGCTCACGTGCTCGACGCGCTCCTCGTCGTCGCCGATCAGGAAGGTGACTTTCCCCTCTGGCAGGGAGGCGTCGCCCCGCGTCGTTGCGAAGTCAGCCAGGATGGTGGAAGGCGGAACGACGATCGGGGCAAAGGAGGGAGGCGGAGGAGGCGCAGCCACGCAGACCTGACGGAGGCCACCGTTGGAACTGACCAACAGCGTGCTGCCGTCAGGGCTGATGGCGACTTCAGTTGGGTAGCTGAACGCCGCCGCGTCGCCCACGCCGTCGACGCTGCCCCTGGTGCCACTGCCCGCGATCGTCGTCACCTCTCCCGTCGCCACCTCCACCCGCCGGATCTTGTGGTTGCCTTTGTCGGCCACAAACAGCACGCCGCCGTCGGGGCTCAGGGCGATGCCAGTTGGGGTGCAGAACTGCGCCGCGTCGCCCACGCCATCGACGCTGCCCCTGATGCCACTGCCCACGACCGTTGTCACAGCGCCCGTCGCCACCTCAACCCGCCGGATCATGTGGTTCTCATAGTCCGCCACAAACAGCGCGCCGCCGTCCGGGCTAATGGAGATGTCACATGGGTAGTAGAACTCCGCCGCGTCAACCACGCCATCGGCGTCGCCCTCGTCGCCGCTTCCAGCGATCGTTGTCACAGAGCCAGTCGCCACCTCCACCCGCCGGATCTTGTGGTTGCTCCAGTCTGCCACAAACAGCGCGCTCCCGTCTGGGCTTGTGGCAAGGCCGCGTGGGCCGCAGAACTCCGCCGCGTCGCCCACGCCGTCCGCGTCGCCATTCTCGCCGCTGCCCGCGAGCGTGGTCACCTCGCCCGTCGCCACCTCCACCCGCCGGATCTCGTCGTTGCTCCAGTCTGCCACAAACACCGCGCTCCCGTTGGGGCTGGCGGCAGCGGTGTAGTATTCGACACTTTCCGACAAGGTCGCAACGCTGCGCACGCGCCCGGCCGCCGAGACGTGCAGCAGCGAGTCCTTGGTCGCGACGTACCAGGCGCCCGCGTGGTCGCTTGCGACGCTAACACGACCGAGCGATGCCGGAGGGCCGTCCTCGCCCTCGAGCGGCAGCGTCGTCACCTGGCCGACGACGCGCACGCCAAAGATGGGCGCCTCAAAGCCACCCGCGACCGGCACGGGCTCGTCGACCTCCTCACCGCCGGCGGTGCGGGCGCGCTTGCGGGCGGCGGACGCCATGCACGCGCCGAACAAGACTTTGCATAGACATGTATGGGCGACTTCACGTAAACGCACAACCCCGGGCCCCGAAATCGCACAGTGATGACAGTGACATGCAACACGGGGTCCCAGGGAAGGCGAGCAAAAACCTTATCGCGCGCGCTAGACGCCGACTCACACCAGGATGGTGCAAGATAGGTCGCAACTGATCCAGTCCTCCCGGGGCGGGTGAAGTGGTCGCATATGGTCCCAGAAACACCCCCAGAGAGCTTAAAAATCGAGATTTCGGCCGCAGAATTTTTTCTTGATTTTTGGGGGTAACGCTTGGCAGGGCCGTCCATCTGCGTCCGGCACTAGCCCCGCCAAGTATGAGGCGTCTACGTAGACTCACATGCCATCGGCCCTCGCGCTCTGCTCGCCTCGGAGCACCCGCGAGACTCTCAGTGAGGCACACTGTGAGCTCCCGTGCCGTTTCAGCCTGTTGGCTCGGTTTTGACACCGATTCCACCACCGCATGAACCACTGCCTCGTCAATCACCGTATCACTCCTCGCTGTAGGCCCGGTGCTGCAGGTTGAGCACTGGCCGCGGTCAGGTCGTGTGCCTTGCGGCTAGTGCTCAACCTCCGCCCGGAGGGCATACCTGCGAGTGCAGTGCGGCAAGCCGCGGGCGAGTCACTCCTTCGTGCGAATCGTCGCGTCTGGCAGCTGCTGCAGGTCCTCTCTCTGTAGGTTGCAGTACTCCCTCCATCTCGCGATGCGTGGCGCAAATGCGCGCTGACCTTGCCGTGTCGGCCACTTCCTGCGCGCCTCAGCGTCTGCTACTTCGTACTTGCAGGTGAAAGAGCCAGCTGTGGCGGGCTCGCTCAGGTGTCACGCGTGCCCTCCTCTTCTCGTGGCCGTTTTCTCCCTTGTCGACACACGCGCGGATCGAGTAAACAGCGAGCGTACACTCCACCGCGCGGCTACTCCTCACCCTCATCCCCAGACTCACTCTCAGACTCGGACGACGCTACATCCTCTCCCTCTCCCTCACAGTTGCTGTCAGGTCCGTCGGCGTCGTCGCTGTCATCGTCGCTGCTGCTGCTGCTACTGCTGCTGCTGCCGTCGCTGCCGTCGCCACCGCCGCCGCCGCCGCTCCCCGACCCTGCCTCTGCCATCTCGGCGTCCCCGCATGCCTCACCCATTTCGACATCACCTGTAGCCTCTCCCTCCGACGCCGAGCCGTCGCCCGCCGGCTCCCCAGCCGTGCCGGCCTCCGCCCTCGCGCCTGCTACGCCCCCCGCGCCCGCACCGCCCGCACCGCCCGCACCGCCTGCAGCGCCGGCGGCGCCCGAGCCGCTCGCCTCCGAGCCGCCCGCGCCGTCGTCTGACACCTCATCCTCGGGCTGAGGCGCCCAGCACTCGTCCAGGCCGTCCTCAGGCCGGGCGACGCCGCCGTGGCGGCCAGCGTGCGCGTCGCGCGCCTCTTTGCGTTTCCGCTCGGCGAGCGCAAGCAGGGGGCCTTGGTTGGCCTTCTCACCCTTCCCCAGCTTCCAGCCGCGGCCTGCCACGAGAGCCTTCAGCTCCGGGACGGTGAGGCGGTCCGCCCGCCGCCCGCCCCTCTGCCCGACTGCGGCGGCGATGTCCCAGCCCGCGCGCCGAAGCTTGACGCGCGCCGAGCGCAGGATGGCCGCGCTGTCGGGCTTCTGCTTGCGGCCGGCAGGGACGGCGCTGCGCTTCCGCTTCCTCGTCTTTGCGGCGACCCAGGGGCGCCGCTCCTTTGCCTTCAGCTTGAGGATGCGAGCCTCGAGCTTCGCCCGGGGCAGCATAAGCAGCGGCGTGAGCTCGCTCGCCGAGAGTTGCGCCGTCCGCGGCAGGTGCGGCTGCCCGTCTTGCGTGGCCGCCGCATTGCCAACCCCCGCAAAACGGCTGGCAAAGCCGGCCGTGCCCCACTCCAGCATGAGCTGGCTCGCCTCGTGCCCGTGCAGGTTCTCGTACCCCTTCTCGTCCTTCACGTCGTGGCCGACGAGTAGGACGTAGGTCAGCTGCATGGCGGACTTGCGGCGCGGCTTCGACCGCCCCTGCTGGTTACTGGCATAGCCAGCCTCCGGAGGGGTCGGCTTGCACACGGTCCCATCGCACAGCGTCAGCTGCAGCTCGGCCACCGGGCAGAGGGTGGGCGAGGCGAGGCCGCCCTCGCCGCCGTGGATGGTGACACGCCCTGCCTGTGCGGCAACCGCTCGCGCAAGCACGTCGCCGGCGCTCGCCCTGCCGACAGGCGCGCCGGCGGGGTAGCATCGGACATAACCGCACTGGTGCACATCCGGGTTGGTGCGACCCTGCTCCAGGTGCCTCTTTAACGCCCCTAGGCGCACAAAGACTCGATCGCAGCCGGGCATGCCGCCAGGCATGTCGCAGCATCGGTAGGACCGCGCTGTCGATCGCGCCACCGAGGCCTCCGAAGCGAGACGGCGGCGCTCCGCCGCCACCTTCGCCTGTGCCGCCTCCTTCCGCTCCGCCTTGGCCTTCGCCCGCGCCTCGCGGCCCCTGTCGCTTCGTGCGACGAGCTTCCGGTCCGCTTTGCCCTCGCGGCCCCTGTCGTCGCTTCGTGCGACGAGCTCGTGCTGCCCCGAGCTGCCCGCCGCCCCGCGGCTCGTCGAGGCGACGACCTGAGGCGCGGTGGGCGCGACCCTTCCGTCCGGGAAGAGGTCGGCCGAGGTCAGCCGCTCCCCCTGCCCCAGAAAGGACTGGCGGCGGAGCAGCAGCGCCTCGAACGACCCCGACCCGTCGTAGACGTACTCGCGGGCCGACATCAGGGTGAGGCGAGCGATCGTCTCCACGGCGAACTCCTCGCTGCCGGCGGGCCGGAAGAGCGCGACTGTGCGGCCGCCCTGCTTGGAGAGCACCTTCTCTAACCCGTGGAATAGGTCTGACGGCGTGCGGACGTCGTGGAGGCCGCTGCAGATGAGCCGGCGGACCTGACTCCCGCTGACGGCAAACTCGCCGTCGAGAGTAGACTTATTCTGCCCAGCTTCGCCGATGAAGTGTCCGCGGACGACGATGCCGGTCGTCTCACCCAGGAAGGAGAGGCCGAGGGTGAAGGTCGCGCCCGCGTATGCGGCGGCTCCGTCAGTCTTGACCAAGGCGCTCGAGACGTGCGGGTTCTCAGATTTGTACTCGGAGAGCGCGATGTGCACTGCGGATAGGGTAGCAAAGCCGTCCTCTTTCGACGCGAGCATCATTGCATGTTTGTACTCGCAGACGAACTCTCCCTCGCCGTACCGATCGGCCTCGAAGCGCAGTGGGCGCCGGACAAGCATGCAGCCGTGCCAAGGCATGCCGCGCTTGCCGAAGAACTCGGACATGGCCTCGCGGAAGACGCTCATCAAGAACTTCATTTTCCAGTCGGCGATGACGAGGACCTGTAGAGGTCGGACGCACTCTTCTCTCGGGTTCGCGTGGGCGACTCTCCTCACCTCCCTTTCTCCGTGTGTCTCGCAGGTGGGCTGCCCGCGCCTGATCCTGCTCGAGCCCTTCGAGCAGACGCGAGGTAGTAGCAGCCTCGTGCGCTGCTCGGACCATGTGATGGTAGTAGCTGTCGAGCTTTTCGCTAGCGCGGCGCACGAGCTCTCGCAGTTGGGTCAGCGATTCTAGACGTGGCTCGGAGACTCGGGGGGAGAGAGCCGAGGCGGGGACTCGCCGCCTCCCGCCCTCGAAGCCGCTGTCGACCGTGTAGTAGTTCGGATCAACGGCGGTCGTGGCCGCCACGGGCTGGTTTGCGGCCGCTGGAGCAGCGGCGGCGGGTGTGGCAGGCGCTGCAGCCGCGCAGGCCCGCGTGCGTCCAGCCGCAGGGGTGACGGCCGGGGCAGCAGGAGGAGGGGGAAAGGCGCCGCCCTCGGGCGGGTGCACCTCCCGGACCACCGTTGAGTGCGTGAGGCCGGTAACCATTTACGACCTAGATAATCGCTA